GTTCAGCATCCTCACAGCCTGGTGGATGAAGCTGTTTGTAAGTTGGTGGAGTGGGCCTGAAGACTCTGATACCTTCTCCCTGAAGGCAGGAGTCTCAAGTGGGAGCGTGTGGGGTGGGAGGTGTCATCAACAATGCTGATGGCTCTGCGGGTGAGGTGGGGGTTAAAGATGTCCATGAGGGAAAGCAGAGGGGCATCGGTGATCTAGCTGGCTGTTTTCACTATGTGTTGCAGAGTCTTTCTGCAGGAGGCAGTACTCTTGTTCCTGCTCTGAGGAGGGAGGTGGCTGCTGGAGGAGCCATGAGCAAGGACACATGAGAGGATCCTTCATGGACTGACACACCCCTTTATCAGAAATCAGTTGATGACTGAAGGCTTCAGATGACTCCTCGATGCCTCTCTCCTCACATCTTATGCTTGTAAGAGGCTTGAGCTGCAGTGAGGTGTGGGGGTTTATCCACAGCAAAGGAGAGCTTCTTTTTTCCATTTCACCTCCAGTGTACTGAGGACACAAATCTCAGCGACAGATCTTAAAACCTGTAGTGCTTCATGGCTTACTAATAGCTGCACCCCCAGGACAGTCCCATGCACTGTTGAATCTCTGAAAACATTGGCTCCTACATGCGTCGTAATCTGGGTCATCTGCTTTTGGACACCCCTTGTCTGATAAATGCCCAGGACTTTCAAACTCCATGTCCCTTGGTGCCTTTTCATTAACAATATGATCTGACAGATAAGATGGCTTGAGTTACTGTCTCAGACTTGACAAAGCTCATCCAGAGACACTATATTCAATATGTATACTACAGCACCCTGCAACAGGTAAACTGATCTTCATGTGTAAATATGGGTGGAGTACACCTGACACCAACAGTGTCTGAACAAAGAAATGTGCACCACCCACTTTCAAATCTTTGATCTGCTTTTTAATCCTTCACAACATGGTCGACAGAAACGCCACAGGAAATCAACAAGTCCTGCACAAAGCAGCATCTTTCAGCCATCCAGTGTACTACTGAATCCCCAGTTCCCCGGGAGGGCAGTGAATGGGCTTCCCAGTTACGGAGCTCATCATATAGTAGGTATCCATGGCGACTGCATAGCAATTTTGCTGCTTCCGAGCATTTTGTGTAGAGAGATATTTATAAGAAAACTAGAATTTCATGCTTTTGTACCCTTGGTGTCCTGTGTGGCAGCCTGAAGCGATGGGTGAATCTGGAGGCAAAAATAGAGCATGCAGGAGAATGCATCAAGAGGCAGGACCTTTCCTGTGAGGATGGGACCAGCAGGAACAGGCACACAGAGAAGCACAGAAGACCAAAACCCAGCTGGCACGTATCATCAAAGTAACAAGAACCCAGGAGCCCTGGGTGACAGAAGGAACCATAGCACAAGAGCTGCCTTACACCAGCAGATGATGAGTAAACTGTCACATGTGCAGCAGAAAGGAAAGGTTAGGAAAGACGCTGCTGGTCAAACGCCCCAAATGTTAACAACCTTGCACATCGACTCCACTCAGAAACATATAATACTGATGTGTGCATGCAAAGACGTAAAGAACAGCAGTTAATCAACCTGACTTGACAAATGTTTCAGTAAGAAGTCTGAAAAAAGAATATAATGTGTTTTTATGTGGAGGACAGTGACCTGAACAGCCACATGTAAAATTCCTCATCACTAGCATTATATCAGCCTTCATTTTTGTTTCTCTTTTTAGGAAACAGCCATTCGTTGCATTTGCATCCTGTAGTCGCCTTGTGTGTCGTAGTTTGCTCTGTTACTGGCTGAGTCCATCTTGTGATACGTGCAGAGCAGGGATTCTGATCTTCTTGCTCTAATGGTGCTGACACAGAGGTCGGAGATTAATCGGGTCTAGGAGCACATATGCAGGTGGCCCAGATCTGGTCTGTGGAAATGTCAGGTCTGAGTCACTGGGAAGGAAACTTCAGCTGTGATGTGAATGCAGCCAAGATTTTCTGCTCCTGCTGCCCTCTCATGTAACTGCTACACACATTGTGTGAGTTGGATTTAAGTCCCAACCTTGCCTTTAATGACTATAATCTAACTTAAATCACTCCACTGAATCTATCACTGATTTAACAGACGTCATTTCTATTGTCTTCAAAGAAGATAAAAGCAGCCATGCTTTTAGCAGTGAAGACCGTAGGTAAGGAGCTCGCTGCTGAACGCCAGTATCCACGCTCAGCTTCACTGCACCACATCACAAATTCCAGTCTGAGAAGGCAGTGGGCATGCTGGGGAGTCCCTGCCAAGACTAAAGATCTGCCTTTGTTCCCAGCAGATGTGAGTCCCAGTAGAAAGTAGTGGGAGAGAAATGAAACGTTTGGAAGCACCACAGAGTGTCTGTGTACTCTCTCTCTCACAGCTCGCTTTACCTCCCTCATTTGGTCTCTGTCGCTCTCTGTCTGAGCCCTATGGGGCTGATAGAGCACCTGAACTCTGATGTCCCAGAGTTTGACTTTGATCACTGTGATGACAAAATCCAGAGCTCCCTCTCAAGGTCTCTCACACATGCACACACTTCCTATCGGCCCCTCCCAGGGTCCTGTGTCAGAGCAGAGATAAACGAGGAGCTGGAAAAGGCCGTGCCCTCCAGAGATATGAGCAGGCGAGGCATCAACAAAGTTCAGCTTTTCCATTTTCTTTTCTGTTTGATAATCTTACATTTATCTTTATTATGAAAAGGTGAAGGTCTCGGCCACTTCCTGGAGTCATAGAATGACTTTCAACAACCCCCACACCAGAGAACAGTCCAGTCTCCACTAACCTCATCTGGGGACAAGTGTGAAATCTAAGCAGATAAGCAAAACTCACGACTCCAGTCTGTATGTTTCACTCAGAATAACAACCTGCAAATACTGGGGTCCAACCCAACACTTTTTGGATTTTGTGAAATAATAATAAAAAAAAAATTCTGGTTGGAACAATCATGTTTTTAAACAAGCAACATATACAGTACATGTCTGCTACAAATGAACACTTGAACCTACCATTCTTACAATTCCGCTGAAAACAAATGTGCCTGCCTAGTGGGTGGAGTTAACTGTAGCAGACAAAGGATTAGTTGTAACACTGCCTAGAAAAGTCTGATAAACCTATGCAAACAAAATCAATTTAATATAATTCTATGTTGTATCAAACGAGGATATTTCCCAGCCGTACTGCATTTTATGATATTGATCTATATGACACAGATCGGTACTGACATGTCAAATGAATGTGACATGAGACTGTGTCAAACAATCAGTGATTTAATTTCTGTCCACAGGTAGGACAGCAAATAAAGATAACATCACAGGTCAGACAAATATGGAGTTTCC